CTAATTGATATTTTTATCCTGTAATTTTGTATAAGAGACGACATTATACATGGAGTATTTTATCAACCAACTAAACGTATAGATAAATAGAAGAGACTGGTTAGATGGTTTGAAAAACCAGACTCGGTCGTCATATTGAACTTTGTTCTACACTCTGTTGCAAAATTCTGACAAATTATTTATTATCTCCACTAGAAATTCATGGTAAATTTTCTGTCTACAAATTTCATTTAATCCTCAAAACATTAATCGATTGTACAGAAATTACTTTGTTTTGGTAGAAACTTGGACAAGAGAAAATACACTAGACTGATTTATATATATAAATTTAGGGTTCGAATTCTTGCTTCGAAAAAAATGTAATGAAACTTACAAAATATTGTTTTGACTTTAGCAAAAAGTATTCCCAAAGCAAGGCTACTCTTGTTCAGGCCATTCCATTTTGACCTTGATTTGCGATGTAAGAATAGTTATCGACATGTTCATGACATCCAAAACATTCTGTGTAATTATTAGAACAACAATAAATGTTATTCACATATTTCTTATGACATTCGTTAGTTGAGACCAAGAATTAGAATGAGTTAGAATGATCTAAAACAGTTAAAGTTGCTATTGCAATGAATGAAACAAAGTATCTTATTTTTACTATTCCTTCTGATTATTTATTTTTTTACACTCTATAGATTGAAATCTAACATTTCTGTTCAACCTCTCGTTCTGAATGCTTTAACACTTCTATAGGAACTCCATCGTGTTTATATCCCCAACATTCACACAAACATAACACCATTCAAGTAGGAGCTGATTAAAGGGCGGAAGAGGCTCTTCTGACTCTTTTTTTTTTCTTCTTTTAATCCGCCCTTGCAAGTTCCAACCTTGCAGTTACAGCTGAGACTGGGATAAACAGGACCTTGGTCATTCTCTCAGTCTACATTGACTAGTTTGGGTAAATTACTTTGCAAAAGGCAATGGACTTTCACCAAAATCTTGACACAAACAGGGAAAATAACAAATTATCAAATTAAGATATCTCTACAAAAGATATATCAATGAGAGAAAAGTTGTACTGTTTGTAAGCTCTAATACCTTATTTTCGTCGATATGCAGTTTTAGTGCTTTTTACCGTATGCCAGATGTTATTATGGCCATAATATTCACAAGTTTTTGCATGATCGACACCCGATTTTCGGGCTAAATGTCCATTTCCATCAAAAATAAACAAAGTTTCCAATACATTTAAAACAATTTTTCTTCAACGTGTTCGACTTCTATGTAGTGTACTTCGGGGCTAGTTTAAAATATTATTCATATACTAGTTTTATCTCACAAACGAAATACACGTCTCGCCTTGAAAGGACTGTTGTTCACACTTACATTTACTTATATATAAAATAGCTAATTCTTATATATCCTATACAATCATATCACACTAAATAAATATTACATGGTGTGTCAGACCACAAATGGGTTATTTAAATGTTTATCCAATACGATAGTTTAACCCTTTAGTCATTGTGTTATTATCAGCATATTCCTGGAAAGTAGTGATTTCATTCTTACGTCAAATTATGTCTAATTTTTATTAAAATCTATATATCCTACTGTAAGTAGATCAGTATTAGAGAGTCTTGTCCTCCTGAATTTTGGTTTTAGTTAGTATATTATTTCTCGTATATATTCGAGTCCACATCCACATAGAATGTCGTATATAGTGATTTTAGTCTCCATGGATTGATTCTTTAGGTGGATTGATGTGAACAAACTGAAGTTGTATTGTATTCAACACGATACAATCTCAGTTAAACCACAGCAAATCACTTGAAGACTCAACTGAAAGCAAAAACAAACAAAAAAACTCTATATGGAACGTCCCATGTGAAGATGAACTGTAATACAAATTAACAGCCGAAACGTTTTTTAAAAATAACTGGAAATTCACTATAGAAATAATAACTAACTAGTAGTTAAACTTGGATGATCGCACATAAATTATTAGCCTCGACAACGAGTAAATTATTTTTGTTGAGCTGAACTTCTTTTATTCTAGATATATCAGATTACCTTACACGTTTTTAGAGACATAAACAACGAAGAGTGCCACAACAGTGTGTAATGTACCACATTATTATTATACTACGTTTGCAAAGAACAGTAATCATGGTCCACGTAACAGTGATAAATTGAAAAACAAACAAGAAACATTTTATCTCTGACGGTTCATAACATCACGTTTACAAGTTTAACGTTTTCATATACCATTTTTAACTCATTTGTATAAAACATCTCATTTTAAATTTATACCATGAAATGTCCGTGACATTTTAATTTTATACCATGAAATGTCCGTGATATTTTAATTTTATACCATGAAATGTCCGTGACATTTTAATTTTATACCATGAAATGTTCGTGACATTTTAATTTTATACCATGAAATGTCCGTGACATTACTTCAAATATTTCTCTTCTCAAATACTACATTTTTACGTGGACATCATTCTTGAAGAAAAAGTCATGATATATTCTATGGTCTTCGAGCAAATAATCAAAATCTAACGTTACAGTTAAGATATTCCATATATATTTCAATTATTTATCTTGTATTGTGTATTTCAATTATGTAGTACAGTTTCTAGGGGTATTCTATTTTCTGAGAAACCATACTCGCCTGAAAATAAAAGAAGAGATATCATATGTCTCAATCCAGTTCAACTTTTACAAGAAGCTTTCTCATTACGATTGTTTGCAGTTTGCATTTAGTTTTCTGAATATAATTTTTCTTACTTGAACGATTTTAATCTGGTTATGCATTATACAGCGTAGCAAAATTTCACATTACTTTTTTCCGTTAAAGTTTTAATCCATATGTTATCGTATATATAACACACCATTAATTTTTATTTACATTTTGTACCAAGTATGAACTTCAAAACGTATAATTTCCAATCGTTGATAAGTTTTATATTTTGTCGACGAAATCTAACAGCTGATTTGACCAGTGTGAATTTAGATTATCTTTGATGTTCTTTTTTGTTTTTATCTTCATGCGTGTTTGTAGGTTTATGAAATTATTATTATATAACTATTACACCATCTCTGAAGAACAGTATAACTCTTTATTATTTACCTTGGTTTACATGTGGTTTCAAGTGTTGTAAGCAATTCTTTCCTGATTAAAACACCGCCAAATAATATTCAAGATTTCAAATACTAATATAATATATATATATATGTTAATAATCGTTTGAAAATTGTTGTTACATATACAGAGGGTTCAGCACGTTATATTAAAACGATTTTGATTGTACAATCAGCAATTCATATAACAAACACAGCTGATATAAAGTCACGGTGGAGCAGAATGTATCAGAAATGCATTTTAGCATTGTTTGGCATTACCAAAATTTTAATAGCCCTTTCTGACAAAAAAATATGAATAAACTCGGATCATAAAGATGTGTTCAAATTGGCGATTTAGAATTTCTAAGACAGGTATCTCCCTTGTACTTAATGGGATTCAAAAACAAAGGAATATGAATCACGAACTTGAGGCACCAGGACCATTCAGGCCTGCAACAAGACATACTCCAGCCGTGATAAACAAAATGCGGCTTCTTTTAATAGGTGAAAATCCACGAACACAAATATCAGTGACAAAAGTGGTCTACATGCCCCCAGGAAACAGTATAAATGTAATAAAAAATGAGCTCCGTCTGGAAGCGAGCTAAACAAAGCATTGGTTCACCAAGATAAGGCTTCCAATCATGCTTCCTATTAAATCGTCAAATACCTCAAGCAGCTGGTAAAAGCAACGTGTATTCACGCTATTTCATACGACGATATACCAGTCAAGTTGCCGGACGCAGTGTCTATAAATTTCTGTCTGAGTGGACTATTGAAATGAGTGCTAGATAACGCTTGTTATCGTATAATAGATGGATTATGGAAAACATGCAGGAAGGCGTGGACTGCTTTGGACGTAACAGTCTTTTAATGGAGCCTTTTGCAATGGAAATTACGCTGCGGTATTATTGTCAAGATGCACAGTCGTTAGATAGAGTATGACTGGACGTGGCGGCACAGACTGGCGTAATTTGGCGAGGCTCCAAAACCGCTTTAACCTAACGTACTCAACCTACATAAAACTCTGTGAGTGTAGTAACCGAACTATAAGTTTTACACTTCAACACGCCATACAGATAAGAATGCTTCTTCAAGATTTAATAAATATTTATATTCATTAGAAATCTCATCTACACAATAACAAATGTTGTGCGACGTTACCTTATGTAGGTTTTAACTAAGCAAAATCATAAAAATATAAAAAATGTAAAATAACTTAGATGTGAGCTGAAATAAACATGATACTGATGTTTTGTTTCTATTGTAATAGCACTGATAGCAAATATCCTTATAATATACGTAATTCATGATAACATTTGTGAAATTCGAACATTTTAAAAAACAGCTTAAGCCATGCTTACCGAATATTTGAGATGATTTTTTTTAAAGATAACGATTAATTAAATAGTTCATTTCGACAAAGAAATGCATCTTACTGCGTCAATTCAGTTATAAAGATAAAATACACACACATGTATACATATAGTATATATATATTAAAAAAATACAATTGGGTTAAAAATTATATTTAGCCCCATAAAAATATCATTACAATAACATATAAAACGATACAGAATCATTGACTGTTAAAAGAAAATTAAATATATGAGCATCAAGCTACGTGACAAAATTGAGCTTTCAAGATTGAAGCTGAACTCTACTCACTGCAGGAAAAGGACTTTGAAGATAGATAATGCAACTATGTATCACATATCTGCTTTTTTATGTTTTACGCAAGGTTTTTTTACTAACGTCTTCGAGAATTGCAAAGTTAACTTTTGCTTACAGAACCCACATTTTTCCAATTTCATTTTTTAACAATGTTGTGTAACTAAATGTGAATATGGTGTACATATCACACAGCCACTACATTGTCATCGAGACCATTCACTGAATGCTTCGACTTCCTTTTCCTCAAGCTCTTCCACGCCATCCTTAGTTACAACTGTTCCGTCTTTCTTCACAACAATCAAAGCTGGAATGGCCTGTACGTCATAGAGCTGGATTAACTTTTGACGAACATCAGAGTTGAAAGGAATTGCTGGCCATCCGATCTCCATTTGATCCATATAGCCAAACATTGCTTCTTCCTTATCGTCACTGGATATGAGGACAACCTCAAACGACGCTCCTTGTTTTTGTAGCTTAAGATAAATGTCATCGAGGTATGACGTAAACCCCAAGCACCAAGGGCACGATCGGTTTCCAAAGAAAAATCCTACTAAGTCCTTGTTTCGTAAAAACTCCTTCGCTTCGACTTCGCTTTTGTCCCTTTTAATAAGTTTCGTTTCTTTTATAAGCTCCATAGGTAACGGTAAATAAACTATATAGTTACTTTATAGCTTGTGCTTGTAGTTTGGACAAGTGCTAATTAACTGAAATTTATATATATGCATATACCAATCACTAACTGTTTGTGATATAACTGATAGCCGTAGACCTGAAGTGTTTGGAATGTGTACTCTCCTACACACCATCGGTTACCCTGGTAACCTGAAACTTGTCACCTATATCGACTAGATACCGCTAGATAGCGTTTCACTGCCACAAGAAGCCTTACTGGGTATTTATTGACTTTTATTTAAGTACTTCAAGCAACTACTAATCTCACAATTATAGTATAGGCACATTGTGACAAGTGGTGTTAAAACCTGCTATATATTTATGTTAGCATACTATAATTAGTTTTACAAAAAGTTACTAACATCTTTAGAGGTAATATTCGCAATTGCTTTAATAAAGTATAAGTGATTTTAAGGCGGTTTTTTTTTCTTAATTCATAAGTATATGTATATATAAATAACATTTTTTTCTTATATCTTCCATTGACATTTTCATCCGACAAAACTTTAAAAGTTCATCAACATTTATCTCCTAAACCTCGAAGAAACAGGGGTAAATGTAAATGCGAGTTTTATTGCACCTAAATTGCAACAGTAAGCTGAAGTATTTTCGCATTTTTATGAAAGAGTGTGAACAAAGTATGTTGTTTATTTATTTTTTCTTCACCAAAACATGAAGTTTCAATGAAACATAAATTATCCGTAAATGACGTATAGGTCTGTTCTATACTTTGATTCGCAATTCCATTTACAATTTATTACATCCAAACCTACAATGTTGTTCTTAACCACATAATAAATATATCACCTCAATCGTTATTGCTAGAAATATGAAACCATGGTAAGTATTATCTCAAAAAAAGTAAACAATTAAAGCGACTGTACTCAATAGTTGGAGCATCAGTAAGAGATTAAATAGCTGAAAAGACTCTTTACAATTACGAAAAAATCATATTGTACATATTAAGTTCTAAATGGTTAATAATTGACTAATAATTTCTTATAGATATTGTTGTTATTCATTATATGATCTTACTAAAACAAAAGAATAACGAACAGGATTTGTTAGTCTTTATCTTAAAATACTGCCATAAATATACTTTCACTAAAAAAAAATTTGATGACTCTTAGAATAGTTTGATTTTATTTTTAAACCAGCGCATATAATAATTTCTTTCTTTCTTTGTTTTAGCGCAAAGCTACACAATTGGCAATCTGATCTTTTCCCACCACATGGAATCGAAACCATAATATGACCACAAGAAAGTTTTAATATTTTAAGGTAAGGGAATGTTAATTTTTCTAGCAACTTATTTTGGTCTCAATAATCATATGGGTTTAACTGATAAAGCTGTTCTAACTAACATCTAAAGCCTTCTAAAACCGCCTTGGCGCATTAATTCAAATTTGGGAATAACTAACACTTTGAACAGACATTAACTAAAACAGGAGTTTGTTTAATTCTGAACCACGTTACGGGAAGAAAAGTCCCACTACAAACCAATATAGAAAGAAATAAAAGTGGTCTAAATTCTAAAAGTGTTCTAACGGAATAAGGTACAACATTCTAATTAGTTTGTGCGTGATTGGAAAAGCAATTCAATTTATACAGGTAATTGGAAGAATTCGAAGAGAAAATATTAAACACTTTAAGATCTGTTTAATGTTTTTGAAAATTAATATGATATCAAAGATAAAAATTTGGATATAAAATAAAGACAACTAAGGACAAAGTGACGTGTTGTTACCAACAATAGCATCGCAACTTTATTGGGATCTAAATCCTTTTCGGGATCTGGGAGTGTCAGGTATGATATTTCACCTCTTCCTCCCTCTTGTACTGGTTTTTAGTCGCTTTAAGATTTTGCCTGTCATCCTTGTTCTTTATATCGTTTGTATGTTGAATGCCGAGGCAACTACACACTGTTTAATTAAATGGTGAACATCACACGAAAGAGGGTTTTGATATCACTTTAAGTCACTGATATGATTTCAATACCCCTATCAGGGCCATGTCCATTCATGTTCGACGTTCATAATTTGCACTGGTTTACATTTTGCTTTATTTGGTATGCTAAAGTCTTGCATATTTCAAACAGTCTCATATACTCCAGTGCTTGTTCATTTTGTAGCATTTCTTATATGTATGGGCATATATATCCTTTTTAATACACAATGTGGGACGACTACTGTAATGTTCGAAAAAAAATTGATCGTCCCTCTAGTGGCTACAATTGTATGTTTTCTGCAGCCAATAAGAATAATATAACATCTTACTTAAATAAGTAAAATAAATTGCATATGTATCTACAGCCTTTAAAAATAACTCAGAGTATTTATGAAATTCAAATATCTAGATGTATTTTTAAAATTAGCTAGTAAATTAAATAAGCTTATAGGAAAAATAATAGCTTGAATCTAAGTTTCAAATGGACGGCAACTGCCTGTTGTAGAAACCTACAGATGTAGAGGACGACGTTTCGAAAGTCAAATAATAGCTTGTTACTTTGGGGTGGATAGCCCCAAGATAATATATTAGCCCATTTTCATTCCATTGTAGTTTTCTTTGAATTGGTTATGCGCAGCAAAGGGTGATAATTTTTCCGAGATGGCTGATTATTGTAGTTATGGTGGTTGAATATTTCGCTTCAGTTCTCCATGAATAACAACAGCTTTGGATACTATGAAAGTGTTCATTTTGCTAGCATGCGTCTAATTTCCCTTATGCAAATACTGCAGTAAATAAACATTTAAATGTAATTGAATGAGTTGGTTTCTATAACTGAAGAGTTGATGTCAGTGTTCATTTGTTTATTTTAGAACTTTTTGGCAATAAAGTTAGGATCATCGACCTTTACTCTCTAGGTAATAATAATAATGAAAACGTTTTTATTCCTGAGAAACCTTCGCCGTTGGAGCTTCATTAAGGCTAGTAGTACAAGTTTATTATTACTATTGTAGAAGGAGATTTTTCTGTTTGTTTGTTTTTGAATTTAGCGCAAAGCTACACGAGGGCTCTCTGCGCTAGCCGTCCCTAATTTAGCAGTGTAAGACTAGAGAGAAGGCAGCTAGTCATCACCACCCACCGCCAACTCTTGGGCTACTCTGTTACCAACGAATAGTTGGGTTGACCGTCACATTATAACGCCCCCACGGCTAAAAGGGCGAGCATGTTTGGTGGGACAGGGATTCGAACCCGCAACCCTCAGATTGCGAGTCGAGCTTCCTAACCACCTGGCCA